ACGCCCTCACCTGGACCCGCCCCTGATATAGTCTCGCGTTTTATAATTGTTGACTAATTCATTAGTGTAGACAATGATATATCTGAAATGTCAATGCTGATTAACTAATGTAGTTTCAAGTTTCAAGTTTTCAAGTTTTAAGGTTGTAAGGGCGTGCATATTACCAACGGTGGTACATTTGCTAAGCTATCTGGTTAAAATGGTACAACTTAGGAGGCACATACGCGTCACCTTTAAATTTAATTTGAAATCATCATATTCTGGTACGTACAACTTATTACTACGTACACAATAGTATGCTGTGTGAAGATACTTTCTTGTACGTACACGATGGTAAGCTATAAGTACCACATTGAAATATTATGTTGTACATACAAGATAGTGAAACAGTTCCAACAATATATATAATACCAAAATAATTGAATGGATATGTTAAGTCGATTAAACATAATATTGTCAGCCGAAAAAAACCGTTACCGTTCTTGTATAATGATATGATCAATATCGCCCGGGCGGTTAGGAAGGTTACAATAAAAAGTATTAATTTTCAGATTATCTATAACGAGCGGTCAATAATATAATTATGCAACTTATGCTAGTATATTTCCGCCGAGCGTTGCAAGTTGCAACTTGGGGTTTTGCGGAGGTGGTAAAATAAAAAAAACAACTTTAGGGTCAAGATACAAAGTAGACGAGCGTAGCGATGCCAACAAATATTGTTTTAATAAAGAAAATATAGAAAAAATATCAGATAACGGAAACCCACAATATTTGCTAGGATACCGTATGGGAAGTGTGGGGCGTAGCCCCAGATTTTTTTATACAAGCTCCGTGCATTATTAGATGCATTTTAAAATGTTAATATGTTCCCATTCCCGGCAGATCAGACCATTATGGGCCGGCCCGGAAAAGGCCAGGCCGCCGCCAAAAGGGGGGGCCGGGGCCGGGTGTGCCCCCCCCCCCCCCCCCCCCTAAATCCGCGCCTGCTCTTTGACTGAAACGTAGAGCATCGGAGTGGAATTAAAGATCTGGTTTTATCAGATTGCTGCTCAACAAAACTACGCACTGACTTAGGCTGTCAGCTCACAAATGAAACATTGAATCTGAACGTTATGTTGGCACTGTTAGAACTAATAGATTATGTACAAAGTGTAATCTTAATGACATAGAGGACGAGCTTCATTTTGTTTTAGTTTGCACAAGATATACAGATTTAAGACAGAAGTATTTAAAATGGATTGAAATAACCCTAGTGTATATAAGCTTGTTCAATTACTTAATACACCGAATATCAAAGGATTATGTAATCTTGGAAAGTATCTGATAGTGGCAAATAAGCGCCGATCAGATATATGACAGTTTGTATGTGTGTATTGTTCATTCTCCTGTGACCAATGTGGCTTTTTGTACATATGTAAATATCCTGTTTAATATATGTTTACACTGATAAGTCGCAAGACTTAAAGTTAATAAAGAACTTGAACTTGAACTTGATCGAAAAAAACACATTAGCAACGCTATTATATTTGTTTAGGTCCAAATATAGCTGTAACAAATTCTCAGATCCATGTGGTTCAAAGTCCCACCAGTATGTTTATGGACGCCACGTGACAATGACGAGTGATCACAGGCCTCATTTAGGTGTATCTTTTTGAAAAGATGATCAGTTTTAGGTAGGTTAGAATTGTAAAGGTTTTTTCTGGTGCGAAAAGTGACTTGGGATTTTTGATATTATTATAAAAAAAGTTCTCGTGCCGGTTGAAGGTAAAATCAGTCTAATAACAAGTGTTTTACTGTAAATGGTTCGTGTAATGCTATGCAATTAATGAGGCTGGTCTTCGTGCTTCAATGACCCATCCGGAAATGGGCAAAGCTAACCTCGTCTCGTCTATGGCTGGGATACCATTCACCGATTTTAGGTCGGTTTTACGGAGTGTAATTTGTTGTTTACGCTTTGACTTCTAACAAAATTAGTTATTAATAGTATAAAATGTAAGACCATCTTTAGTATAGTAAAGCTGTACAAAATATGCACTTAACTGAAGTGACATTGAAACTGAAATGGTTCAAAATAGGATTGCTAAAGTGAGCGTAACCCCTGGATATCGAGGATGACATTATACTGACAACGGGTGAACCAGTTGTTGCCATTACCCTCAATGCTGAACGTTAAGCAGGGAATAATATATATAACAACTACAAATTTTAATGAGTTTGGTATGGTCCCCATTGCCTTCCTCGTGATTACAGGCTGTGCGAGCGTTCAACATTAAACCAAAACGTGAGGTGTTGCTAACCATAAAAGGTTTTCATCCTCATCTACATAACATCCTGTGTTAATTTTGACGATAACGGATTGGTTAGGTAGTTAGAAATAGAGAGAAATGTAAAGATTCCAAATATTGACCCTAATGGGCGCAGCAGATTTATTTGGTCGCTTCAAAAATGGAGTCCACAAGTAGAGGTCACAAAAGCAAATCCCCATGGGTTCTGACATTACCGATACATCATGCAGTGGAGAACAGCGGATGTATCCTTTTCTCGATCCATCCCCTACCTGCAGTGGTGCTAACTAAAGGAAACCTTTATCTTGATGAAATTGATTGTAATAATTAAGAGTACACAATATCACACACACACATATATATATATATAAAGCTTAGCATAGTGTAGAAATCTTTATTAAACGTCTCTGTATCCTCGATATCCAGGAGTTCGCTTACTTTCGCTCTCTGTACAGTAGAGTAGAGAGCGTAGGTGATCGTAAACCACAGTTGACAGTAGGTACTATAAAATGAACAACGATCATTTCATTGCTTCAAATAACTAAAGGGAATTTATTACAAGGCCTTATTCATAACAAAGGAAAATATTCCAACTCATGAATCCCTTGTTCTATTGTGGTCACATTTCGTTTCGGTTTGTTTCATTACTGTAATCGTTCCGCTTCTTTTTATCAATTTATAATTTGAACGTTTCCGGTCGGTTCTTCACTGATGCTAGCCAAATTTGTTAGAAAGTTCAGATCCAAGGCAAGAGACCTTGCAAGTCTGGTAATTATTTCGTTGATGAGTTTCGCATGGATATGGTAACGTTCCACCAAGGGAATTGTACATAAAAGAAATCAACGTTAGATTTTTACTGACTAGATGATTCGGCTGAGATGAAGTCAAACATTTGAGACTGACCGGTTATTTTTCCATCCTCGGGCTCGGTAGGATTACGATCACGATTTTCCCATCCTCGGTAGGATTATTACCAAGGACGTAGGTTTCCGATATATTTGTTGTCATATACACACTACCGATAAACAAAACTAAAATTTCTGTCATCACTCGGGGAATTCAACGTCAGTTTGTGACTGAGTGACCATTGTTTACATAATTTCATTTGTGAATCTCAATGATCATGACCCAACCATTGATTGGGAGAGTAAATAAAAAAGTGTATTAAAGAGTTCTTCCGCAACGTTACAGTGTCACTCGGCATTGAGGATCACTTGACCACAACGGTTGTTCAAAAGTGTGTCCTAGAAACATTGGATCTGGCAATACTATACTTCGAATGTATGTGACTTCAATAGATAATACCCTTTTTAGGATCATTTTAACAATCGAGATCCAGTTCAGCAGCTGGTCAGAAATGCACAGTGAGAAAAAATATCCCTCATGAAGCCTCATGTATGTATCGTTATCTTGTTTAACACCCATGTGATATTTAGATTGTGTGTCACTAACTGTAACATGTGACTACGCATTATCACTATATTTAGATATTTGTCATCCTTAGAATGTGATTTCACAAGACTGTCATTCAGAGCGAAATTGACTGGTAACAAGACCAGATGTACAGCTAGAACTACAACAAGCAATTCATAAAATTACTCATCCCACATTCCCTGTATGTAACGTAAATGTTTCACCAAACAAGTCAATAATGAACAATTTTACCCATAACAAAATTTGGAATAAAAACAAAATGTACAGTTATGTTATATATACCCTGTATAATAATTGAGAAAACAAACAACAACATATGATATACAAAGATGTTTTTAAGTCAAAATTCAGTGATATAATGATACATTTTGATTTTGTTTGGGACGAACTATAGATCAAGAAGCCTGAAATGAACATTTCAATGATGTATGAAATTTAAATAAGTTTTGTCGAGCATTATTTTATAAGATTTCTTATATATTCATATATATCGTTCAACGTTTCAGATATTGCCATTCCAGGAACATCAGTATAGGCTCAGAATTTGACCAGAACAAGTGACCATGTCTGAAGGAGAAATAGAAGTAGCCATGGAGGAAAAAAAGGCCAAATCAGACGAAGAAGACCAGGATACAGAAGCCACAAATGGAACGGCAGTCTCGGTCACTATGGAGAAGTTGCAAGGCATGGACGGGGTGGAAGTAGTCAAGATGCCTGCCCCAGACGAGGACGTCCGTGAGATAGTCATAGTGGATGCAAATGCTCTGGTAAGGTACATCCAAATTTTAATTGAAAATTCACATTTCTTAATTGATTTTTAATGTTTTTGTGTTGTTAAATTGTATGCCATTGACAATATATAAATAATATTCATTTACTGTAAAACTTAAAAGCTGTATGTAAAATTAACACTTAACTGTATGTAAAATTAACACTTAAGTGGTTTTATCTTCTATTTATATTTATTTGCTATCCAGTACTATCTAGAGTAAAGCAGTTAATTTAACAACTTGCCTAAAGCATGTATGTATTTTGACCACATATATGAAATCATATTTATGAGCATGTAGTAATGCAGTATCCATGTATAGTCTTGATAAGGTTAAGCAATGCATGTAAGTAATGGATATAAAAAGTAAATTAAAAATTTGTTACTTTGTGTTAATTTATTATTGAAATTGAATGGTGTTTTTGTCTTTTCAGGATGTGGATTTAAACCAGGGGAAAATTGCAAAGATCGAAAATTTGGAATCATTGACACAAGTAGAGGTAAGCAGAAATTGTTTTTTAAGAAATTATAATGAAATATTTGGAGTAATTGCATCATCTGTTCCAGAGAGAAAATTCGCTAGATTACCTCCCCTTATTAAAATGCCATTCTAGTGCCTCATATTTATACATGTATATTGATCCGGTCAACACTGTACAAGTTTTAAGTTCTTCACTTCAAAGGGGACAATTTTGAATGCAGACAATATATTATTGTATGGCTTGTGTATTTCTCATTTTGCCTTTTTGATTGATGTTCATGAATTGTTTGATTAAAATTTGTAAGAATTAAATACATATTTGTTGAATAAGGTTTTCACAATCACAAATGTGTTTGACGCTGTTTTGATGATTGTCATCCAATATGCCTGTTTGTTTTCTGGAAGAAAATGTCATGACAATTCTTCCTTTGTCTTCGGGGCTCATCCACATTTTGAAAGCACACACAATATTTTTTAGTAATGGATGAATATTTGAAAATTATGTTTAGGTGACTTGCCTGAATTATCCAACCCAAATCACTGTCAGGCCATTTTTGACATTGTACACTAAGAAACACATAACAAGGCCCTGCTTTAAAAATAACAATTTAAAAACTGACTATATGTCAATCAATTTATTTTATATATTCAGTAATTATCATTGGCTTGGAAATGCCCCCTTCATCAGTGGATATCTAAGGTGAGGTTGGGGGCCTTATGAAGGCCCTTTCCCTTAATTTTTTCTGCCGATTTTCTCCCAAAATGATGAAAATCCTTTATTTTCCTTAAATCATGTGTGTGGTAGTTTTTTGTGACAGTCACAAAGCACTTCCCCTGTCAAAAGAGGTAGAAAAATTACTATCACTGGTACAGAAATTTTGAATATGTCTTAGTACTAGCATGTGACACCAAATCAAGGTTACGGTAACATGTCCCAAGGACCAGGAAAATTGCTATTTAACTACTTAATAATACATTTGTACATTCAATCACATATAGTTGACTTTTTTTTATTTTATTGAGTGTGTGATTTATTTTCACCTGTATTTTAAACTGTAATGGTTTTCCAAAGATGTTTATATTTTGATTTTCAGACATTGTGCCTAAGACAAAATTTGATAAAAAAGATTGAGGGTCTGTCTACACTACAACACCTTAAAGACCTAGACTTGTATGATAACCAACTGGAGGTGATTGAAAACTTGGAGGAGTTACGGAATCTTGAGTAAGTAATTTACTAAGACTTCAAATTTCTGCTACAGTAGGAGACTTTTTTTCTCTCTCTTACTGTCTGTCCCGATTTCTATTTCATGCAGGAAAAGTTTCTTTCTTGGGATCTTGAACTAGTTACTGTAAGATAGATGTATGACTAGCAAATAATCTATTCAACTAGTTGTATGAATCACAGGGCACAAATAGTCTGCCTAACCCTGGCATTCCAGCATACAGGATACAGATCTGTTACTTCGGCTTGAGTTTGGTTAAAAGTGTTTACCACTGTCACTTTGTAATGTAGACTTCTCTTTTACAGACTGCTGGACCTGTCGTTTACCACTGTCACTTTGTAATGTAGACTTCTCTTTTACAGACTGCTGGACCTGTCATTTACCACTGTCACTTTGTAATGTAGACTTCTCTTTTACAGACAGCTGGACCTGTCGTTCAACCGCCTTAAGACTATAGAGGGCCTAGAAAATCTGACGGCCCTTCGCAAGCTCTACTTTGTACACAACAAGTTTGACAAAATCCAAAACATTGAACATCTAGTGCAGCTTCACATGCTGGAATTTGGTGCAAACAGGATAAGGGTAAACATACATATATCTATGTACTTTCTGAGAATGTTATTAATACAAGGTGCTTTAAATGATCTGAAATCTGGATACTACAATCTCCTCTGTCGACTAGCTGGTGATATGTGGATCTGTCTTCTGATATTAGGCCTAAAAATAAATTGTGTGTTTGTACTTAGTTCTCAATAGGAATTGTTAAGGCTGCTCTTCCTCTGGAATAATCCAGCCTTTAAAGTTTTTCTTATTAGAAGATTCCTTAAAAAAAAAAAACTATCTCCTATACCAAAACAGGCAATATAAACATGGATGTTTTATTTAAATTCTTTGATGTAAGAGATGTTAGAGAAAATGAAGATTTATCTAAATTTGTTATTGGAACAGGTGATTGAAAATCTTGCTCCGCTGACACGGCTAACAAGTCTGTATTTAGGAAAAAATAAACTTACAAAGATTGAGGGTTTGGATACACTGGTCAATCTGACCTGTCTCAGTCTACAGGTAAGTCTGAATTCACAGTGTACCAAGTATATTTATGATACAATAACAAAAACTCTCTTTACAGTACACAAAGTATTTTGATATGATATATAAAAAATGCAGGAGTGACAACTCTTTAAAGCTGTAAGGCACCGAAAAAAAGGAAATATAACAGGGAATCTCAGGAACAGTGTATTTCAAAATTATGGGATAAATTTAATCCAATCAGATATGCTTTTCTGACTGAAATTGAGAAAATGACAATGCAGTGAAAATGTTTCATGTGATATTAAAAAAAAATGCATACACAATATCCTCAAATATTTTATGAGATATTTTCAAAGACAGCTGTTTACACAGAACACAGAGTCTCTGCTTCGCATTAGTGTCCTGCTTAATACAGTAGAGAAGAAAGAAATATCTTTAAAAAAGGATAAACTGTAGAGTTAATATTGGTGGGAATAAATCTAAAACTGGTTGTCTTTGGAATGAGTATTATTGTACTTGTGTACTGATAGCTACTTAACTGCCTAATTTACCACAAAATATCATTAATATGGAAAAGTTTACATAGATAATAATACTTCGACCCTCGGGCTGATATTGCAGTCTCGGGTTGATACTGAGTGTGAAAAAAGGTGTGTTTTATTCTGTTTATTACATACTTACTAATAAAAGCTACTATCTTATGATCTAACTTCTTTTGAAATATTGAAAAACGTAAAATTTCCAAAAGGGGTGTGATACAGGTTTTGCGGGCCGATACAGAGAGGGATGATACAGGTTTTTGGGTGTGATACAGCGGGGACTGATATGGGTTAGAGCAATTGTGTCGTATCGCATATACAAAAAACCTGTATTTATTAGTAAGTATGTAATAAATGCTTTTATCACATAACAGAGGGGGTTCCAAAATGGTCTTAAACAGTTCTGCTGTTAAACTATTAAATAGAGCATTTCTGTACTTCCTAACTCATTCACCCCTTGAAGACACATTTGAACTCTTCTAATTGAAAGGCTGGAATAGTTCGTTATGATATTTCAGCGGTGAATGAGTTAATATACAGGTGAACTGTACACTGAACTATCCTTTAAATAATTAGCAAATTAGGATATATATACATATATGTCAGTAAATTCAATTAAATAAATGTTCCTTCAAAAAGGTTTTAAAGCATGTTAGATTGGGTGCTCTTATTTCCAAAATGATGAATTGATGCTCAGATATTCATGTTTTTTTATAATTTTACTTCCAACAGTCCAACAGATTTGTAAAAATTGAAGGTTTGGACGGCTTGGTGAACCTGGAGGAACTCTATCTCAGTGACAACGGTTTAGAAAGTATAGAGGGTCTTGACAACAATGTAAGTAGGTCGCAGCTGCTTTGTCTATAATACATAAGTAGGTCACAGTTACTTATTTATACTTTATAATTAGGTCAGTACTTTATCTATAATATAAGTAGGCTATAGCTACCATCTATGATGTATGATTTAAGTAGGTTGCTGCTATTATCAGTGATATGAAAGTAGGTCATAATGAACATAACTAAGATACAATTGTCAATCAGTTATCAGTAAGAGTTTTCATTTATCATTTTTTTTTTTATTAAGTGTTAACTTTAAGGACAAAAACATGATTGAAGATATATCTGCTCAAAAGCTGATTTTATTTAGAGATACATTTTCTGTGGTAATTATTGCCAAGTTGAACGTAACTTTATGATAGGCTGTGAGTTATACTATAGCTTCCTTTTGTAAAAAACAATAAGTTTTTGAAGATAAGACAGACATTTCTAACGTTTAAAAAAAAAGGAATGAAATATTTCCGAAATGACTGTCAAAGAAGGGGGATCATTTTGTACCCTTTCACTTCCCCCCAAAAATAACAAATGTCTATTGACATTGAAGTCCCTTGTAACAACCATATAGAGCTAAAGTCAGCAGGTGACAGTTACCTGGCTGCTATGAAATGGGCACTGAAGTCCACATGTATCAGTTTAGTATAGGTTCTTGTTGAAAGCAGACATTTAAGACCTCTTCCTCAACAGCTTATTCAATGACTAATGTAAAATTACAATGGATCCTCATGATTTACTGTCTAACTGTCTAGAGGTTTATTTGATCACATTAAAAGGAATGAATATGAAAAGTCTGACCTCAAACTATGACCTTGTTAACTCGGATCTGTTATAAGAATTTCATTGGATGTTGTTTTGTTGTTGATTTTTCATAAAGTAACTTGAAGTCAAAATTGAGCATACAAACAGCCTTGGACAGTATGTGTGTAAAAAGTACTGGTTCGGCCTCATCATTAATGACATCGATATATTAGATTTATAACACAGTTATCTAGACTACATAAAGGAAAGCTTATAATGATCAATGAATAGTCCTTTAGAAAGATAATGATTCACTTTGTGCCTTTTAAATCTCAAAGATGTGATCAATTGTTTTAATACACTCACCATTCAATATGTTCATTATGATAAAAAATACATTTTCAGCTACGATTGAATACCCTGGATTTGGCACAAAACAGAATACGGAGGATAACCAACGTGTCACACTTGAAAGAGCTGCAGGAGTTCTGGGTAAATTATTAACATAAAATATCCTGTCTTTAAATGTGTTAAAATACACAAACATGTACATATGTCTAGAGAAATAGTTTACATATATTAGACTTGTTAATATGACAGTTGATATTAGATGTTTTATGATGTGTAAGTTTAACTTAAATATTGTCTGACCTAGAAATGTTATATATATTGAATGACTTGGAAATTTTATATTGTTTAAATGATGTTATGTGATTTTATATTGTTTAAATGATGTCGTGTGATTTTATATTAAAACATTTTGATATTATATGACGTTTAAATATTATATGACGTTTAAATATTATATGTTGTATGATGTTAAATTGGTAGTTAGCTATGTAATGACTTCAGTGTGTTAGATATTACAGAGGTGGACAACTTGACACCAATAGGACACTAACATGACAAATACTGTCTGACGTTGGAATGTAAGATGTTGTATGATCTTGAATTGGTAGTTAAATATTGTATGACATTAGCGTGTAACATATTACATGATGTGAACAACTTGAAACCAATGAAACATTAACATGACAGATACGGTATAAAGTTGAAGATTAGATGTTATGATATGACATTGAAATATTAGATTTTGAATGATGCCCAGTTATTATCAGATATTATGTAACTTTGAAACGTTAGTTAGATATTGTGTGAGGTTGAAACGTTAGTTAGATATTGTGTGACGTTGAAATGTTAGTTAGATATTGTGTGACGTTGAAACGTTAGTTAGATATTGTGTGAGGTTGAAACGTTAGTTAGATATTGTGTGACGTTGAAACGTTAGTTCGATATTGTGTGACGTTGAAACGTTAGTTAGATATTGTGTGACGTTGAAACGTTAGTTAGATATTGTGTGACGTTGAAACGTTAGTTAGATATTGTGTGACGTTGAAACGTTAGTTAGATATTGTGTGACGTTGAAACGTTAGTTAGATATTGTGTGACGTTGAAACGTTAGTTAGATATTGTGTGACGTTGAAACGTTAGTTAGATATTGTGTGACGTTGAAACGTTAGTTAGATATTGTGTGATGTTGAAACGTTAGTTAGATATTGTGTGACGTTGAAACCTTAGTTCGATATTGTGTGACGTTGAAACGGTAGTTAGATATGTATGTAATTAACATATTGGGTATTGTAGATCAGATTCAGAGCAAATTTGATGAAAATATTTTCAGAACTTGCATGAAAAAAATATAACCAGATGAGTATACATATTGTAGGATTTCAACATATTAGTTACTGCATGATATCAACATAATATTGAATGATCATAACATTGTCACCATATATGCATTACAAATTTATTTTCAGTTCAATGATAACAAGGTAGATGACTGGAAAGACCTAGAGGAGTTAGCACCAATCAAAATCCTTGAGACAGTCTACCTTGAACGCAATCCTCTGTGGTTAGACCCAGATAATGCGGGACATCCTGACCCCAGCTATCGACGCAAAGTGAAGCTGGCGTTACCCCAGCTCCGACAGATAGATGCCACCATGTGCAAATGATAGTGTTCGACCTCCAATAACCTGTGGGGACCAGGTTTAATAAGACGGCATGGCTTACACATCGTAGAGGCACAGAGCTCACAACTTTACTACAAATTGTGTTACACTGTTAGAGCCTATGGTAGATATTTGGAGTGGACAGATTGTACTAGAATTTTCTAACTAGGAGGTCTTCGTACATCACTGGATGAACAAGGCAGTAAAAACTAAATTCCGATTTCGACATTATGATGCTCATTTAGAGGTGCACCTTTAGGAGTGACTTGGTCCATCTGTGAATCGGCGAATTTAGTACACATGACAATATAATACTGCATGTGAATGTTTTAAGAGATAGGAAACAGGATTTTATGTTATCTTAGTGAACTGGATTGCACATATCTTTGCCAAACGGGGATCTTAGGCATGCAGAAAGCAGTTTGTATGATAATGTCACAAATTAACTAAATGTATTCTAACTTTAATTCCCTGCCATGAAATGGAGGACATATATATAGTGTTACCCACATCTGTTTCATTTGTCCGTCCAAATGAATCATCCTTGTCCCAACTTTCACGTACTTGCCACAGCATATAGGAAGATTAACCACTGGACTGTGAGTCACCATGGCTACATTCGCGTATCCGGTTGAAACGGTTGAACCGGTTGAACCTGTAAAGAAAACGACAGGTACAGATTTGGACCATAGCTGACCTCAGGCAAATTTGGTATGTGTAGATTGAGGGGTCCAGACGTACCTGACCGAAACTAAAATGCTGACTATTGCCAATTTGCGTTATTTCTTTCTAAAACAATGTCAAGGCTCATGTAGTTTTTAAGATACGTTGTGTAATACAGTGGACGCATGAAAGAAGGGCATACTATTCTTCATACATTGTTTTTTATTCTCCGAAAGTGTGGATTTTTAGCTCTGCTTATAGAACGGTCCAAGTGTGTTCGTTTATCGTGGAAAATTTCTGCGCCACACGTACCGTTTCAACCGGGATACGCGAATGTAGCCTTACAGTTACCGTGTCCCTTCTCCAAAGGTCAAGGTCACTGTTAGAGATTGAAGATCAGAAGAACTATATTATTGTCCGAGTCTAAAATTCCTTTTGATAAGATAATGTAATGAAACTTTGCACACCTCGTCATAACCATTAGACTTGGTGTCATCACATCATTACGTGAAGGTTGAATTCATGACAGCATGTCTTTTCCTGGACATATTTCTTGCTTATAATTTATATAATTGACTAATAGAATTTCCCTACCTTGAGGGTGTGACGGAGAAATCTCCAACCCTATACAACCAGATCATCACCATGAGGGTTGGAGATTCCTCTGTTATACTCTCAAAGTAGGGGTTAATTATTTTCTCCCATCATTCCAATATTATTGTTTAAAACTAGAGTTTTTAGCATTTGTAACCTATTTTACCCTGATTGTACAGGACCTCTCACGTTAAGACCTTATTGTGATGTTATATCCGATTGTTCCCAAGACATGCTGTCGGTCGGATACTCAAAAATCATGAACAGATAAAATGGGAGATAATTCTGTGAATGGTGGGAAAAAAATGAAATAATGTATCCACATTGTGACACCTGAATTGTTATACATGTGTGATACACGGACACCTTGTTAAGTCCACAACCATGTTCATAATAAACACATTAATGGGACATTTTTGTTTAAGGGAAGTTAATTTGTGCCCTGTTGCTAGGAATTGTGTCCCAATCCTTAGAATGAATAATGTAATGAAATAATAGCTGTTTCAGATAGTAATATACATCAGATTCTATAATGTTGTACATTGATTTTTCAAATAACCAAAATTACTTACCGACTGTAGCCACATAAAAGTTCATTATAGAAAAGATTTACAGTAATAAGTTCAACTCTTTGTTGGACACGTTCGCATAGAAACGGCGTAATTTTATATTTCTTCAAAGCATATTACCTGCCTGGTATTCTGTCTTTGCGTATTGCAGAGTTATCTTCTCTTGAGAGCAGGTATTAATTGTTACGTCATAGGTTAGTGTGAAAAAAATTACGGTGTTTTCTCAAAAATTAATGACGTTACTCTCACAAACAAATGACGTAACAATCAATACCTGCTCTCAAGAGAAGATAACTCTGCAATACGCAAAGATGGAATATATCTTAAAAATTTAACCTTATTGCCTATATGTCAATGGCACTATACATATCTTAACTACTGATTACATCATTCCAATTTATTTTTCTGCCACTGACATTTTGTAGCTGCTGTCAGCAGTATACCATGGACATAGGTCAGGCTGTAGACTAGCTTATGCAAAATGTTAAACATGGGTCATTCAGGAGACGAGTCATGTGCTCTGTTTGAGTGAGTCAGATGACGAAACAGTATACCGGCCCTACTTTCAAACAGATTCAACTTTCAGCTGTTTATGTTGTAACTTTTCAGAAAATTCTAGTACAGAACTAGAGAAAAATTTGATCCTTCTTGTTGATAAACAATAAAATTCCAGTCTTAAAAATTTAGAAAATTAGCAAACCTGTTTGAAGAGACGACTAAAGGTGAAAGCAAAGATAGTCTTTGTAGACTGGCAATACAAAGATATGTCACACACATAGAAGCTGGTAATATAGAGGAAGAGGATAATGGTGAATGAAGAGTCAAGGTGTAATAGATATAAACATGTGGTAGCTCGAGACAGGTGGTCTCTAAGACAGGCTTGACTTGAATTCAGGAATTGAAGTAAATTAATATGTAAAAGTCTTTTATCAAGAGTATAGAGTATTGAATATTCCCGACATTACAACCAACTTTTATGCCATATATGTACATGTATATTCAAAAGATGTTGTCCATTGATCTCATATAAAACACATATACCCAATGTAAAGTAGTCGGAACTGAATTTTGTTGTTGGTGTATCATTGTATAATATGTATATGATAAAGTCAAAAGTTAATCTGTACAGTGCTTTGTCATGTAGTCAAACAGTTATTACATTTCCATTATCTGTACAGTGCTTTGTCATGTAGTCAAACAGTTATTACATTTCCATTATCTGTACAGTGCTTTGTCATGTAGTCAAACAGTTATTACATTTCCTGTATCTGTACAGTGCTTCGCCATGTAGTCAAACAGTTATTACATTTCCTGTATCTGTACAGTGCTTCGCCATGTAGTCAAACAGTTATTACATTTCCTGTATCTGTACAGTTCTTTGCCATGTAGTCAAACAGTTATTACATTTCCTGTATCTGTACAGTTCTTTGCCATGTAGTCAAACAGTTATTACATTTCCTGTATCTGTACAGTTCTTTGCCATGTAGTCAAACAGTTATTACATTTCCTGTATCTGTACAGTTCTTTGCCATGTAGTCAAACAGTTATTACATTTCCTGTATCTGTACAGTGCTTTGCCATGTAGTCAAACAGTTATTACATTTCCAACCTGTACAGTGCTTTGCCATGTACTCAAACTGTTGTTATATGATTGAATTTGCAATAATTATCTATTAAGGAAGAACTTGAACCTTTCACAGCCATATTTCAGTCCAGATAAATGCTAATGTAACACATCTTTTATTCATACTAGACTGATGATTCTCATTCCAAACAAATAGAGCAAACATCAATTTTATGATAATATACCTGTAATTGGATTGCACAATTAATTTTACTGAAGTCCATTGATTTTAAGTAAATAATAATAATAATAATAATTCAAGGTTCTTATATACCGCTTTATCACAACCTAGTTTGTAGGTTGTCTCAAAGCGGTTTACAAATTAATATCCTTTGCAACCTTACCAGCCAATGTCTTTCTCAACTCCCTTGGGAGCATACAGCCGGTGCTGCCATTTCGGCGCTCACAGCTTTTAGTGCTGTTATGATAAAGCTTATTGGTATTGTTAGAATGTCACAAACATTAAGTTCCTACACATATGCTATATATGTGGGCTCTTTATTTATTAATTATAAGTCTATTATAGACAATATTTTATGAACCAAGGTTCCAGGCCAAATAAGAAAATTCTGCTCTCAAAAGTTGCATAATCTATTTAGGAGTCATTATCTCTTTGCTTGACCTTAATATTTATTTGTTTGAAAAAGGTCTGACAGTTTATGGGCTGTTCATGATACCCCAAAGTGATATGGTTGTATAATATTTGTCAACACTTATTTAGCTATATACATAATCGAATAAATCATCACATTTTTTCTTACATTCATGATCTAAAATCAGAATTTATAAATGGTCCTTCCACTCTGACATCAAAAGATTTCACTCTTTATGCCATAAGATAAAAACTTTTTTAAACATAAATCATTTCTATGGAGGTATCTTGTAAATTATTTATTATTGATACTATCTTCAGGCTGATAACATACAAGATAAAACATGTATACAGGAAATCACAGGGTTAAGACATAATTTACATATGGTAACATTGTAGGATAAACCATTTTCAAAATCCAAGGGGGCTCTTTTGATTCACTGACCTTCTCTACAAACCTGTAGTATGTAATGACAAAATAAAAGGCATGTCGTTAGCTATTTGATTGGCGCCAGGTATAAATACTGACCAATTGCTAGGGTGATACCTGTCTTTTGAAGATTACAGAGGAGTGACATCAAGGGATTAAACAAGTTTTCTTGTAATATCCACAAAGTGGCTTTAGAGAGGTTTAGATTAAGTCATGACATATGCTAAAGATGTTTAAAATTGAACAGTATTCCTTGTCACCTGTTGTTAAATAATGTTTAAGTTCTATTGCCTAGTTTTCTTTTTTACCTTTTGTAATGTAATTTTCATTGCAAGCAGTTGATAAACACTTTTTTCTGTGAGTCTGTTGGTCACAGAAAAATGGTTCATAATTTGATGTCAGTCATAGTGCTATTTTTAGATATTGACTGCAAAAATGTTTGAATAAAACACTCATATAATATAAAATCATCTGATTTTTTATTGACTCTGTATGTCATCTAATACTTCGGTATCCACCTCGGATCCCTACACCGGTACATTGACCGCCCACTACCCACAGGACCTTAGTCTCCTTACCACCTCGGATCCCTACACCGGTACACTGACCGTCCACTACCCACAGGACGTTAGATCTCCTTACCACCTCGAATCCCTACACCGGTACATTGACCGACCACTACCCACAGGACGTTAGATCTCCTTACCACCTCGGATTCCTACACTGGTACACTGACCGACCACTACCCACAGGACGTTGGATCTCCTTACCCCCTCGGATCCCTACACTGGTACACTGACCGACCACTACCCACAGGACCTTAGATCTCCTTACCACCTCGAATCCCTACACTGGTACACTGACAGACCACTACCCACAGGACGTTAGACCTCCTTACCACCTCGAATCCCTACCCCGGTACACTGACCGACCACTACCCACAGGACCTTAGATCTCCTTACCACCTCGGATCCCTACACCGGTACACTGACCGTCCACTACCCACAGGACGTTAGATCTCCTTACCCCCTCGGATTCCTACACTGGTACACTGACCGACCCCTACCCCCAGGACGTTGGATCTCCTTACCACCTCGGATCCCTACACCGGTACATTGACCGACCACTACCCACAGGACGTTAGATCTCCTTACCACCTCGAATCCCTACACTGGTACATTGACAGACCACTACCCACAGGACGTTAGATCTCCTTACCACCTCGAATCCCTACACCGGTACACTGACCGACCACTACCCAGAGGACGTTAGATCTCCTTACCACCTCGGATCCCTACACCGGTACACTGACCGACCACTACCCACAGGACGTTGGATCTCCTTACCATCTCGGATCCCTAAACCGATATATTGACCGACCACTACCCACAGGACGTTGGATCTCCTTACCACCTCAGATCCCTACACCGGTACACTGACCGACCACTACCCAGAGGACGTTAGATCTCCTTACCACCTAGGATCCCTACACCGGTACACTGACCGACCACTACCCACAGGACGTTAGATCTCCTTACCCCCTAGGATCCCTACACCGGTACACTGACCGACCACTACCCCCAGGACGTTGGATCTCCTTACCACCTCGGATCCCTACACCGGTACGTTGACTGACCACTACCCACAGGACGTTAGATCTCCTTACCACCTAGGATCCCTACACCGGTACACTGACCGACCACTACCCACAGGACGTTGGATCTCATTACTACCTTGGATCCCTACACCGGTACACTGACCGACCACTACCCACAGGACGTTGGATCTCCTTACCCCCTCGGATCCCTACACCGGTACGTTGACTGACCACTAGCCACAGGACGTTAGATCTCCTTACCACCTAGGATCCCTACACCGGTACACTGACCAACCACTCCCCACAGGACATTAGTCTCCTTACCACCTCGGATCCCTACACCGGTACGTTGACCGACCACTACCCACAGGACATTAGATCTCCTTACCACCTCGGATCCCTACACCGATACACTGACCGACCACTACCCACAGTACGTTGGATCTCCTTACCACCTCGGATCCCTACACCGGTACACTGACTGACCACTACCCACAGTATGTTATTGTGATGTAAAGTATGTTATTGTGATGTAATGTACGTCATTGTGATGTAAAGTAAATCGTTGTGATGTGATGTACGTCATTGTGATGTAGAGTACGTCATTGTGATGTAATGTACGTCATTGTGATGTAATGTACGTCATTGTGATATAATGTATATCATTGTGATGTTATGTATGTCATTGTGATGTAAAGTACGTCATTGTGATGTTATGTACGTCATTGTGATGTAAAGTACGTCATTGTGATGTAATGTACATCATTGTGATGTAAAGGATGTCATTGTAATGTAATGGATGTCATTGTGATGTAAAGTACGTCATTGTTATGTTATGTACGTCATTGTGATGTAGAGTACGTCATTGTGATGTAACGGATGTCATTGTGATGTAACGGATGTCATTGTGATGTAAAGTATGTCATTGTGATGTAATGGATGTCATTGTGATGTGATGGATG